GATGAAGGAAGAGGAAGATGTGGCCAAGAAGACAGAAGGGAACACACTGCTGAACTCACTGGAGTGCTTTGAGGCCTCTGTTCTGACTTGGATAGCTAAGACAGATTTGTTTTCTCTACTTGTAAGACTGGGGGAATAGTGCCCATCTAACAAGACTATTGTCTAGATTAAAAACTAAGAGCCTGAGCCGGGCGATGGTGGTGCATGCCTTTAATCCCAGCACTCGGGAGGCAGAGGCAGGCGGATCTCTGTGAGTTCGAGACCAGCCTGGTCTCCAGAGCTAGTTCCAGGACAGGCTCCAAAGCCACAGAGAAACCCTGTCTCAGAAAAAACAAACAAACAAAAAGTAAGAGCCTGTTTTGGGCTTAGATGAAGGGCAGCAGTGAATAGACTGGCCAAAATAGTAAATGTTCACGCTATCATTGACATCGTCTTTGCCTCCATCCTCTTCCTCCTTGTCGTCATCATCATCACCTTTCCACTCATTGAGTATAGCTCAAACTATGCGATTCTAAAAATTACAATTACACTTGACATCAAATAATATGCAATTCTGAGAAAGAGACAGACAGAGAGAAAGAGGGCGAGCAAGTTGTCAACTACGATATGGTATATTTAACACAGTTCCGCTGATACAATTTTGGCACATTATTTCTAAACTGAATCAATTTTAATTTTGTTAAAATCTTTGAAAGCACTGTTACATCCTATTGAGTCAAATATTTATCTTATAGTAAACAAATGGGGTGCATTTTGAAATTCAATATTTGGTATGTTTCTGATTAGTGAGCAGAAAGGATGGACATGATCCAATACATGGAAGCCCCGAGCAAAATGTATTTATTTCTTCTCTGAATAGATTTTTGGATACTTATCCTTCTCTCTCCCGATGTCTGATCTGGACAACGGTCTGTGGTCTAGCCAGTGCTGCCACAGTGTTAAGGCTGTCAGGGACCACTGCAATCTCCCATTCTTGTCCTCCATCCTTCACCTGACAGATGGCATGTCTCTATTTGAACACCCAGTGGCTTTCTGTCACAGGATAGAATGCAAACCCTCCGTGTGACTTAGAAACCCTGGCTGAGCTGGCCTTAGCCAACTTCACACTTCTACCGCTTTGTGCTCATACTATTCCGACTGCCTGGGGTATTGTTCTGTCCAAGAAATAAACTGCAAGGACCCTTTGCTAGTTAGGGTTCTTGGTGCTTTCTTTTCCTTCTGCATAGACTGTTCCTCTTCCACGTCCTCACATGACTGGCTCATCTTTTATGTCTGCAGACACTACCTCCTCAACCTTAAGTACCTCTAAGTCTACCTCTCCCATCTTAAGTAGCACTGCCCCTCCCAGTTACCGGCTGTATTTCACCTGCTATATGAATCACAGCTGAAACATCCTTGGCGATTCTCTGCTTGTATGTTGTCTTGCTGATATGTGGAGGGACTGGACTATTTTCGGTGTTCTTCACCATTCATCTACAATACTTAAGGAGCAGTAACTCGCTAAGCTTCAAGGGGGTGAGGATAAATCGTTCTAATTCATGCAGGACGTGGAAGAAGTGGCAAGGACACCAATGGGCAAAAGTGACTTGAGGTCACTGTACAAGTCTTTAGTTGGTTAGCTGAAGGCATTTCTTTACCCGTTTTTGTTCCTTAGGTCCTCAAATCACTCAACAGCACACGTATATTCTATCAGGCCTCAAAGAAGAAAAATTTAGGTTTTGCTTTAGGTTTCTTCATAAGAAAGTAGTCAGAATTTTCATTTTTCTGATAAAGACTACCCAATATCAACTTGAAATATTGAATGGTATACTCATAGCTATCTAGAGAAACATCTTTTGGGAAAATAAACAATTTGAGACTAGATACACGAGCAACTGAAACACACACACACACTCACACACACACACCACACTCCCAGTGTACTCACTGACAAGAGAATCACAGTAAAATTGCAGATGCTTTATGCTGCAGACACTTTTGTTTAGAGCAAGTGGAATTGGTAGCATGGATAGACAGAGGAGGAACAGCACAAATGACCTCTATGAAGCTCAGAGAACCTGGGCTGACCTGTGCCGTGTTATTTCTAATCCACTCCAAATAGCAACCTGATGCGTGGAAATTCTGCAATGGGGGCATGACCTAGAGGAGAAGGATGAGGGGCTAAAGGAAATATTAACAGTACTCTTGAGGAAGACACCTCTTCTCTACATACTTCTTACTGAGTCCTTACTACACTCTGTGTTAATGACTTTACTGTGGATTGCTAGCTCACTGAATGCTCAGAAACTCTCTGTGAATGAGAAGGACATTTCCACACCACTTTAGAAGAGGAAATGGAAGCAAGGTATTAGATTTAGTTAAAGTCAGAAGTAAACGAGAAACACTAGGCTTGACTTGAAAGCTTCCCTCTACTGAAGGCATGAAAACGCTATCCAATCCATTTTGTCTTATTTCAATGGTTTATTGCTGCCATTTCAGATTTAGGTGGGCCATGAACCAGAAGATAGATCTTCCCTTTGAAAAGTTACTGCTTTTGCTACTACTTCAACTCTAAAAGTTAATGGCTCATCTTAAAACTGAAGTCCCTTTTTGTTCCGATTAATCCTCAGAAGTTCTTCAAAGGAATGCTGAATAAATCATGCTCTCCTTATTCTTTTCGGTTTTTGGGTGATGGATATTACACCTAAGGCTTTATGCATGCCAAGCACATGCTTCCCTTCTGAGCTCTATCCCAGGCCCTAAATCATAGTACTGCAAATTTCCAAAAATTTTGAAACAAATAAAACCAATGAGCCCTATTTCTATGGACTGCCCTGGAATGATGCCCATGGGATCCAAGGAGAGATTCAAATGTTTCCCAGCTGGCAGGTTAATGTGGTTATGGGTATGATGTTGTATTTGTACTTAGCAACTACTGACTATTTGGGTGGGGAACTCTATTATAAACTTCTTCCTTATATACTTTTTGAATATGACTTGCCACAACAAAATATTTTTTTTACATTTAAAATGAGCTTAATTTTTCTACATTATTTGTTTCTAAATAGTCCTTTGGGTTTGAATGTTTTCTTACATGATCTGTTTCTAAACTTTAAAAAAAAAACACTTCTAAAGTCAAAGTGCCACATTTTTATCTGTTTTAAGCATTAAGATTATAGTTTATTTCTGTTGATAGTTATTTATCTGTATATAGTTATTTCTACAAACTTACTAGTAAAAATAAATGTACAAACTTTTTTTCTCAGCACTGAGTTACTTAGCCACATGCCCTTTAGTCAGTTAGCCAACTTCCTTATTAGACTTGGCCATTCTTTGTATGTATGTCCACAACCACAAGGTATGTGCATTACTAATAAAAGGATTTTCATATAATATACCGAGGAATTTCAGGTTGCTCTTTCTTATGGGTGCAAGGCACTCATAACTGGAAGATGTGAACTAAACTCAATGGCCATTCTACTGGGATAATAATAGTAATTTGTAGTCCACAAGTTTGGCAATGAATCAGCAGATGACATGGGGTATATTCATTTCATTTCATATCAAGGCACTTTGAAAGGAAAATGCAAGGTAACCAGTTACAATATTATTTATTCATTAAAAGTTTACAAAAGTAACTGAATATGGACAGAACTAGAA